TTATTGTCACGACCAAACACACTATAATCCACAAGGCTGGATTGGTCGTGAAAAAAACCCGCGATGGTCGTGAAACTTTGGTCGTGAAATTACGTGTTATTTGGCTCTGTTCTGGCGGTAGCCCTGCACCTCATGTTCGAGGATACAAAGTGGACTTCTAGGTTAATCTAGCAATTGAAATATCTTATAAACAAAAATTAACACCATGTCTAATTCATCGAATTACTACGTGCGGTCATGGACACACCAAAATTACAAAAAACAAAATCTTTCCTTTATTAATCTTTTAATTCCTCCTTTCAACTCGAAACGGCCGGCACTACAATCCTGACGTGCACCCCGAACTAGTCTCTAAAACCAACTTACTCCATCGACGCCAGGCTTGCCACTGTCGTGCTCCAAAGTTGAAATTTTTTCCCAAATGGTCGTTACGCCAAATCGAGGGACAGACTTATTTTGTCATGGTAGTCAGTTTGTAATGACAATAAAATTATAATATGCTCCTTTTTTTAAGTTTAATAACCATTGATGACATAAAAATATGGCTTTATATATTTCGGCATGAATAATTAGTCTAAAAACAGCGTGAAAGTTGGAAAATGTACCGTAGGGACACGTCATGGTCGTGAATTTCGAGACTTTAAAAATACGAAAAAAATACCTAGAACCTATTTAAAACCAAATAAATGTGTGTAACATGTTGCCCCCGTCCCAAAAAATATTAAAACACATAATAATAAACTACAAATCCAGGGACATGAAAACGTGCGTTTTTAAATTTTCACTCAAAAATGTTCCTTGATTAAATTGGTAGATAGTCGTGGATGTCAATAGCCATTCTAAGTCGAATTAGCAAATGATTCACGGAAACGTCACAACTATAATAATCATGGTAGTGAAAACCAACGGCTCTCTTTAAAAACAATTACATCTAAGTCTCTCTGTAAGCCGCGTTTACACCAAAGTTGACAACCAGGCTTTCCACTAGTTGCGGAAACTTGTTGCTTTTCTACAAATGCAGCGACTTTTTCTGTCGTCAACTAGTGGAGAGACAAGTTTTCCACTAAATTTGGCTTTCCCGCGGAGAGTCGGTAAAGAGCAAAGAAAGTTTACAACAAAAAATGGAAAACTAGTTGCTACGCGCTTTGCGCAAGCAGCTTGTGGAAAACTAGTGGAGAACTATTCCCCCTCCCATACACATATCGTAAATGTGTATTATTGTAATTATTATAATAGGGTAAATGCTAGCTATGTTTATATTTATACATCTTAATTATGCCTAATAACACAGGACGTGGACAGAGCTACAGACCACACCCGTGGACTGATATTGATGAAATTGTTTATGCAGGTACTAAACCGTAATATCTCCAGGGTTTTTTTATATTTTTTATTTTTAATGGTGATGTTTTCATAAAACTCATAAAACCCCCGAAACGATTTTGATAATGAAATGAAATTAAATTAAATAATATTTTATTTCCCATTAATTATTTACAGATAAGTACATTGTATTTTTTATTTACTTAAATATGATACAGCAAAACATTACTAACTAGATAACAAAACTAAAATTATATTGTAGAAATAAGCAAATTTTGATAACTTATGTTATCATCCCATAAAACCCCATGAAAAAACAAAAATGGACTTTAAAACCCCGTTTTTGATTGAATTACTACCTTTGTGGTCCTTATAGTCCCAAACAATATAGTGCCCCCCCCCCATTACTGTAAAAGTTACGATTCAAAAGTTAATACGACTTGTGTAATTTTACTTAATAAATTACATAGTTACTATACCTATTAAATATTATTATTATTCTAATCGCTTATCCATGAAAATGGTTGTAGACAAGCTAATAAGAGATAGTATGTGTCAGATTGCTGATTCAATAATTTAACTAAAGTGAAAATTTCTGTTTGGGAATGACTGCGTCTTCTTCGTCCGACGACATCCTTGACACTACTATCATTGACTATATAACCACATGCTACTATGTAACTGTACTGATTTTCGCGCCTATTTTTTGGCAACAGGTTTTCCACTAGTTGCTCTAAATTAGTGAGGAGCAACACATTTAGTTGTAAACTTACGTATGGTTAACTTGTTATGGTGGTAAGCTTATGTAACTGTATGGAAAAAGTATTGCATACAAGAAATGAACATTTTTGTAAAATACAGTTCTTCAGAATTAGTATGTTTCGAACATGGACAGCTGTCCATTAGCTGCCTAGACCTGGGCTAGAAAAATGACCCAGACTGAGTGAGTAATCAGCTGATTTCAGACAGTAAGAAGGCAACACAATATCTCACTCGATTCCTATTACACTCATATTCATTCATACTTAGCCTAAAATATGCACCGTTGGTAACGCTGCTGTCTGATTAATCTATTAGTAATATAAGAAGAGAACAGATCCAGGTGATAAAAAACTAGAACAGAAATGGGTAATTTTAAAAATATTTTCATTTCCATCCAAATAGAACTGAGGTTGCATGACGATTTTGAATAAAAAAGAATCAAAAGAACAAAACAACCAACATAGCTAGTAGTTATGGATAAAAAAGTAATTTGTAGACAATTTAGCGAATTTCCCTATAGGGAAGTAGCTATTACCGTAGGTGGCACGGTAAGACCTAGACCCGGGATCGATTTACTTTTCCATTTTGATGTCCCCAGAGACCAAAAACACCATCCGTTCAAATTTTTATATATGTATATATATATATATATACGTCCGTGAACGCGATAACTTGAGTAATTTTTGTCCGATTTTGATGAAATTTGGTTTAAAGGTGTAAAGCGAGATAAACTTGAATGAGTTCGCGAACCAGCACGATCGGACCATGGAAACGGGGCTTTACGGGGGGTTTTATGGGGTAAAAATAGGTTTTTCTCACTTTTGACCCTCAAAACACAAAATTTCCCGATTTCTCTTTAGACCTTTTTAAAGAGCTTAAAAAAACAAATAATTTAGTATATCAAAGTATTTTTGTTCGATTGTTAGTAACGGAGAAAATTAAAAAAATTATAAATTTAAAATTCCCATGTTATTCTTATGGAGAATATTGTCAAATGTTGTAGTTTGCTTGTTTATGGATATATTTTGATCAAACTTGGCAAATTTATTTTTTTTTTACTAAGCTATCAATATTTTACTCAAAAACACACTTTATTAGTTTCCTTGTAGCAGCAAACCTAGGTACTCGTTAAACATAATGTTATTAAAATATATTTAACTGAAAATCAATTCAGACAAATGGAAATTCGCTTAGTCGGCAGGATTGCTGCGGCGGGGGTATTTATATTTATCAGGTACCTAATAGCCTACGTCCTTTTTTTGTACGAGTTTCGAAAATGTCGTCTGTGGGAATTCAATATATTCCTATAGTAAATTAAAAGGCCGAGCTAAAATCCGTTTTCAAGTCTTGCTGCCCCAATTAAGTAAACTGTATAAAAACAAATATATCTTCTGAGAAGCGAAGTCTTTTAACCTTTTACGACCAAGAAGCAACATAATTTTGCAAAATAGGACCATTGCATCGACTAGATGTATGTCATAAACGTAGATTTATAGTTAATACTAATACAGACCTTGAAAACAACATGGTTAAATCACACATTCGCGTATTATTATATTTTTTATTACATTTCATATAGGTAGGCCTACGATACCAGTGTTGTGTAAAATTACAGTCATAATTTTCGAGCTGAAATTATTAAGATAATCTTTTTATATATTTGAGTTTTTAATTTCCAATTTTCATCCGCGTTTAATATACTTTAGAACCTAAACACTCTTTGATTCAGAGAACCGGGTTTTATATATTTTGTCATTCAATCTGATAACTTGCATTACATATATGCCTACGTACATCGTGTTTTATTTTTATGCTGATTATTTGAAAAATTCTCTTTGTAACGGACTTGTGTTCTTATAAAAAAGGTCATTCCAGAATCATCTGGATAGAACAAAATCGCGGTCTTTTTTTAAGAAACTTCTATGCAATTCTCCCGCTCTTATTGGCCGCCAAAACCAAGGGGTGGGGTTGGGGTAGCCGGTACTCGGTAGCCGTAGCAAGTGGATGTTACGACGATGTTGGTTGGCGCTTGGTAAGTTAACCTTATACTTAGTCTTACTTTAACTTCTTACTTACTTACTAATCTTATACTTACTAGGAGACGTAAGTACCTTACATTACAAGATGACACTTAAAGTTAATTAATTCTCAGCTAATAATTATGAAAGCCTTTTTACTTTGATACGTCTGGGGTCAGAGTCAGGTAGACCGGCAGCCATTAGACATTACGTACCTAGATGCAACTTTTATAGTCATTTACCTTACAGTAACACACATTGTGGTTTAACTTTATTTTAATGTTAGTAACTGTCAGATTAGTTTATTATCACGATCCCAAAAAGAGGATTAGTTAAGTTATTCCCTAGGCCTAAACTTACACGATAATCACACAAGTTAGCAAGGTTATCTTAAAAAACAAATCTCGTACGTAATGTTACTGACTTTTAGGATTTAGACGTACTACAAAAATGTAACCTAGGCCTTAATATGTCCCAAAAATTACATATATAAAACTGTTAACTTAAGCCAAGCCATTTCTCAAATTTACAAACTACTTAACTTACTAACTTAAATGTTTTCTATTAGCTGACAAAGTTGGATCAAACTTAGGCCTATTTGACAAATTAGTTTCAGCTTGATTGGATTCTAACTTACTGGCCCATCTAGCAGCTATTGAGCTAATATGTTAGCTTTAGCCTATACACTTAATTGTTCTCTAATTGGCATAACTTGATGTAAAATGAATACGTTTTTTCATGGTTATTTATAAACCAGGTTCTTGTCATGGTGGAGGTATTTATTTAATTCCACCATGGGGTTCTTGTGAAGACACCCTACCTATTAAAGTAAGCTTACCAAGTATAAGTTACCATAGGCTACTTAATACAGCACTAACTCACCTACAGCTTACTCACCTAGCTTAGTGTGGAAGCAATTTTTCATAACTTATGTCCAAACTTGTCTATGCAGTAACTAGGGTACTATGAGTTAAGTAGGCATAAGTCAAGGCTAGTTAAGTTGCTCGCTGAACTGGGGCTCGTGTATTTAAGGTGGTATTACTCGTCTTCTTTAGCTTAAAATAACCAACACATCAAAGAATCTCTGAGATGAAAATGAATCAAGAATTTACTGACTAGCCTTAACTTAAATAGGTTTAATTTAGGCTACTTAAGATAGGTTTAACACATAACATACTTAGGTTTATCTATTGCTGACATGTGATTTTTTATATTTTGCACCTTTGCCTCTTATCTGACACTTCACTCAAATAACTCACTTTAAATTCACTTTAAGTTTTTTTTCACAATTATAATGATTGAGAACGATTAACAAATTGTAATAGTAAAATAACTTAATTATTAGAATCCAGGCTAATCTGCCTTAGTTAACATGCCTACCTCATTATGACTGAATCAAGAAGTTGGTCATTACTGAATTTTTTTAGTTGTAAATGTTAAACAACAAAAATACCATCAAGTCAAACTTACATGAACATGCACTAATTAACTGACAATCTAGTTTGAAGGCACACAACTTAGGTTAATTGTATAATTTACTTAAGTTGCCTACTTTTAGTGCAGCAAGTTCTTAAAACAGCAATGATTCATGAATTTACTTGCTAGCCAACTACTTTTATTCAATATATTGCCAACTTAGGTATCCTCGCTAATATTTGTAAGCCAACTTATTAAAACAAAAATACATAGCTTAAGTTTGTCATTACTGAATCTTAAAGAGGTTATTGTAGGCTTGTAATGTAAACAACAGAAACTCCATCATATTATTGTGTACTTGGTTTTATTTTGAAGATTTGTCCAAAATTATTTTATAGCAAATAATTTGGAATTTATGTTTCATTAGGCCTAATCACATTTTTTACAATCATAAGGATGTCCATCTCATATTTCCATCTCACAAGGAAAATTAATTCTGCTAAATCCTAACTTAGCTTGTCAGTTCAACAAGATTATAGACTTGGATATTATGCAAATAGGCTTATGAAACAAGTTGCTAAGCTTTGCCCTAATTTAGTTTAGAAGTATAAATTGGCCATATGATGACTTTGTATGGACTCAGTCAGCTATCAATTAACCAAAAGGTTTAAAATTTCTCCTTCTTAATTAAATCAACTCATGCTACCAGGAGTTAAGTACTGCATTTATACTTGAAGGCAAATACAATCACAAAACAGTTGTTAATGATAAAAAATTAACCCAAACCTATTTTATTAACCTGATGTTTACTATTAATGGATTTTTTATTCCAAATCGATTTATTTTGGCAAAAGAACTACTGTACCTGCTTTTGGCAAAATTGGGTGTTAGCGGAAAAGCTTAAGGGACACCTAAGTTTACCTAGTTAGTATTCTAATTTTATTTCTTAATTATTCTGGCATCATGGTTATATAGCAAAACATGTTTTGCATTAATCCCGCAAACAATCTTAATATGGACCATTTTTAATACTTATTCATTACAAATGAGAATGTATATGGCATGTTAAGATGTACAGGAAACCCCTATCTTATGAACATGATGCTTTCATTTAGTTACATGACTATTTACAGATCCAATCCATTTATTTACTTCTTTTTCAGAAACAATTGAGTGTACAGCTACCGGTAACTGCTTCTAGTTCTGAGGGACACACCTGGTAAGTATTCTGATTTCATATGTTTAATTATACAGGCAACTTGGTTATAAAACTGGTTTTCAAAGAGAATTTAAATTTTCAGTAATGTACCGTACTCAAACCCTTATTGAAATGTTGAGGATCAGTGGTATAACGTATATTTCGTATAACGTATATTTGGTATAACGTATATTTGGTATAGCAGAGATGGTAAACTAATCAGTATCAGCTTGAGTGTCGCAAAGGTATTCCTCTACCATGAGTATAATCTTCGATTTTCATATCTAAGTTTAGACCCATACAGAGTGAAAAATTTTAAAAGCGCAAAAAGTATCATAACATATTGTTTAACATTTGGACAGCTTCACATTTTTAGTAATACGCAGAACATTTTTTAGGTTACTCAGTGGGCATATCATTTTACAGAGGTATTTAAGCGCTCAGAGAAATACAAACGGTATATTATGCCTAATTATAAAATAAAGCATGTAAAAGAATATATAGATCAAATGGAGTTGTGCTATAGCATGTACATAAAGAGAAAACCCTAAAACTTGTATCCTGTTACTAGCCTTCATTGCTTGACTCTTGATTCATCACATTTTTTTGTTAAAACTATTTACAGTCTTACATTTCCTGAGAAAAAGCAAGTGATACCGTTGAAAATCATACCATTTTGTGGCATGGGAAAAATAGGCCTCAAACTCATACAGATATTTGATCAGAAATAAAGTTAAACAAAATAAATAAATTGTAATAAATGTACTAAAATAAATCATTCGTTATAATTACGGTACTATAAAAATAATCTCATGGCAAGACGTAGACCAGATTTACTTTTTTGTTGAGTAAAATTGATCCTATTTTGATTAAATTTGGTACAAACCAAAATTGATTCAAACAAGTTTGTGAACTAGCATGATTGGGCAAATTAACTATCAGAAATCATGGAAATGGGGTTTTATGAGGACAAAACATAACATTTTACAATAATTGTCTAAGCCATATTGTAGAGATTGAACAATAAATAGGTTAATGGTACTAAAGTGAAGCTGGGTGGTACTTCATAGTTGCAGAGAAAATTCCCAAAAACTGTTAATTTGAAATAACCATGTTGTATGAAGAATAAGGAAACTCTCATAGTTAGCTTGTTTAAGGTTAATACTTTAGTACAAATTGAATCAGTCTCCGCTAATCAAACCCTTTAGTTTGCTGTTTTTCTGTGGCGATGATTGAGGGAAGGGGTATATTTCTTTAAACAAAGCGGAATTCGAAAAAGAAAACAAAGTATGTCAAAATTTTGGGTAGTTGAAAATGCTAATTAATTATTTTTAGATAACCAAAGTTAAGCAAGCGGAAAACTCTTCAGGTTTACTTATACCTATAAGTAATTATTTACATTTTCAGTGAGCTATTTTATAACTTTAAGTGAAATATCAAATATTTAATTTGATATGTATTTAAAAACCTTAAAAATTTTAATAAATATTTCAAATGAGGAAGTGTATAAGCAAGTTTACGTACTACACATGAGCAAGATGTTTTAAAAACTAATTGGAAGCCTACCAAAGTGTCATTGGAATATATCACTTGTAAGTGGGTTATTGCCAGCTATATTACCTATCTATATGAATGAAGAATGATTCTGTAATAACAATCTAGTAGATAGCTATCAATTCTTACCTAAAATTGGGACGGAAAAAGAATAAGTGAGATTTTGTAACTGGATGGAATCGACCAACGGGAAAGTTAATATGCACCTGTCGCAGCAAACCTTCATACTACGCGAATTTTCATTTACATCATTGGATTTTCTCTTCAAAAGTTCCCTAAACATGTCAGATCTATTCCCTGTTTAAATAACATTAATTCAATGAATAGCCTACTTAGGTTTGCTGCTTGCTGCTAAATGTCAATAGTTGTTAATAATTGTTAATGAAATGTTAAAGCTTGGTATGAAATTTTAAAAAAATTCCATGATTGATCGAAATATATCCATAAAACTACGACAATTAATTTACCATCCAAAGAATAAACGTGGTAATATTTTTTAAATTTATAACTTTTTGAATTTTCTCTGCATGAAGGTTCAAGACGTTTGAAGATACTGTAGTATGAATGTAGTTAAACAAGTTAATGATTTGTTGTTTAAGCTTTTTAAATGGTTTAGAGAGAAGTTTGGATATTCTATGTTTTGAGGGACAAAATAGGATATTTTTTAACTCATAAAACACCTCCATACAACCAACCTGGTTCCCGTATATGGTTCGCATATCATGCTGGTTGGCAAACTTGTTTGAATATATACGTAGGTTGACACTTATGACGGATTTCAGTTTAACATTAAATTTCAAATAAATTGTAAACATTAGGGGCCTATCTGAATTGAAAGCAGTGTCTCTAGCCAAAAAATATTGATCATTATGTTTTTGTGGTGTTTCAAAGTAAAAATTCAGGTATATTCTGTATGAATTGTCTCAAATGTCTATACGGATAGGGGATGTTTAGGGGGTGATACCAATGTGAATATCGCAGGCTAGGCCCAATTTAGTTCTTTATTGTGTCAAACATGTTCAAAAGTTAGCTATGTTTTTTTCTTCACAGTTCATAGCCTGCCAAATTATTACTTTGAAAGTCAAATATAGGCCTAAGTCACTATAAAGTAACACTGAAGTGTGCATAGACCCAACAGTTGGATTTCAGTTGGTTCATACTATTTATTATCAGGTAAAATTTGACCCATTGCTATCAAGTAAACTATCAGATCTATGTACTGGTTCAATTTCATCCCACAATTATCTACTTTAATTTTTAACAAATTTCTCATGTAGGTCTATAGGAAATAGGCCTAAGCTATTACCGTAGGTCGCATGGTAAGACCTGGACCTGGGACCGATTTACTTTTTCGTTTTGAGGTCCCCAGAGGCCAAAAACACCATCCGTTCAAATTCATAATGTGTGTGTGTCCGTTAGCACTATAACTCGAACAAAAATGATTTGATTTTGATGAATTTGGTATAAACATGTAAATCTACATTTACTCGTACGAGTAGCAGAACCAGCATGATCGGACCATGGGAACAGAGTTTTATGGAGTAAAATGGGCTTTCCCTTTTTTTAACCCCAAAAACATAATATTTTTGAATTACTTTCCCAATCATTTTGTAGAGCTTAAAAAAAGAAATAATTTAGGATATTGAATCATTGTTGTATGCCTAATGGTTGCGGAGAAAATTCAAAAGTGTAAATTTAAAATTCCCATGTTATTATTATGGAGGAAATGAAAACTCTTGTAGTTTACTTATTTATGGATGTTGATACATTTTGGCAGGGGTAGGCTTATGGAAAGTATAATGTTTTGTAAAAAAACCCCATTTTCAGCAATTTTTATATAAGGAAAATGAATAAGCCTAGTAGACCTACCCCTCTACTTAATGTGTTAATCAGTCTAAATTAAAAAATCAGTGTAAGTATGATAACTCATTTGCACTTTATTTCCTATTGTTTCACTCCCCCAGCCCACTGAAAACGTTCAAAACACTTTTAAACTATTTGACTTGTTGACATTAACACTACAACTTTGTTAGGTAACTTTTTCCTTCCTTTTCTTAGGAAAATACATCAGTGAACCCCCCAACTCACTAGGTGGCGAATTCAGGGTTTTAGGTAATAGTTCATGAGAAGGAGGTATTCTATTGTATAAACATTGACTAGGGAAATATAAGTAATTCTCCTTAGTCTATGGTATAAGTTACCTAATCAAACACATCCCTAAATATGTTTCTACTGTAATTGGAAAAGTGTGTTCATGTGTATGCTCATCCAAACAAGATTTTTTCACTCTTTTGTATAGCAGAAGCAGATTACCTTTCAAACAGTATTTGTTAGACTAAAATCACTTTGAACAAGGTTACTCAAAGTTAATTTTAACACAACATTGAACAATTGCAGTTACACATACATTTCAAAGTGCCTACCTTGAGGTAAAGCTGTGACCTGGAACACCTGAAGACAGAACACTACACAAACCCTCTAAACACTAACTAGGACATACTACACTGACACTAACACACATCTTTTTCTTGAGATAACACAATCACTAGCACTGTCACTGTCACTCAACACCCTACTCACTACTAGACTACCCAACCCACTGACTTGATAACGTCAACGAGACTGAACACTGAATGTGTGCGCCGCGCGGCCGGGGGCGCCACAATAATGCAAGCGCCTGGCGCCGGACATCCGCTCTCGGTCTCTTATCAGTCTTATCCCGCAAATGGGAGTTTTACTCTATGTCCGGGATTAAAAGGGAATTGTTTTTCTGATTACTGTTTTATGACGTTATTTACCGAAAGCGGAAACCGGAAACTCGAGTAAATTTTGCCCAATTTTAATGAAGTTTGGTATGAATGAGAAATGCTAAATAAAACTTGAACCTTGAGTTAGCAAACCAACGAGATCATGATCAGATCATGTAAACGGAGTGTTGTGGGTTTTAAAGCTGTCAACACATTTTTCCCCAATTTTTACCCTTCCAATATGGAAATCTTAAATTTAAATGGGGAATAAATATGAATTTTGTATTAATATGTTTTGTTAGGATCCAATCAAAAATATTGATGCAGGTTTGCTGTGTCTAACTCCTTAGTTAAAACGATTCAACAAAAATAGGATTTGTATTTTATTTGATTTTTTCAACCTGCAGGTTGAGAATGTGTTTGCTTGTCCGAGTGTTTCATGCAAAGGCCCAAATACTTACAATTAGTACCTATGATTTATTTCTGATTTACTTTCGTGCACTCTTATTGGAATTTTTAACTACCTGAAAAAGATAGTTCAGATGAATTTTTGTATGTAAGATTTTTAGCTTTGCAATAATAAAGTAATAAGTTATTATAATTTGGTTTTTTGGTTGTTTGATTTGTAAATTTAATTACACGTGTTTACCGTAGTAAATAAGATCATTGACCGTAAATGATAAGATCCAATACTACGCCTCTTTTACTTAAACTTCCAACTCCACGTAGCTTCATTAAAATAATCGTTCTGATATCTCGAAGCTTAGAATTTATTTTAGCATATGACTGATACATCACGCTAAATTAAAAAAACCTAGTTCGAATAATAACTCAAAACACTTTATTCTATTGATTTACCATATGCAAAAGAAAATAAACTTGTTCCTCCTGTAAAATTTGGTTTACATTAGTAAATATCTTCTTGATCAGCATTGTACGTGTTATTAAATTTACGGAAACGTCTTACAACGCATAAAACATATGTTTACGCTTATACTGTTGACTCACAAGACGGTAAATATACAAAAGATGGTAAGTGGTGATCGATTTCGATTGGACACTCCAATCATCATCAGACCCAATAGGAGAATGACACGTCATTCGTGGTTTTCTTCATGGGTTTCTTCATTTCCTCGTGAAAACTTCATTGCGTGGTTTTGAGTTTGCTTTAAATTGTAAAATGTAAACTGTTGTTGTTAATATGATTTAATGTAAAATTTGTTTAAGCATTTTTGCCTTTATATAAATTAAATAACTTATTGATCAGCTCAGCATTGTACGTGTTATTAAATTTACGGAAAGTACAACACTACAGGGTCCTATTTTAACAACTTAACTATCACTCCTACGTCACAACCACAACACACAACATTGGATTGAGAACTGACTGAGTTCTTTTATTTCTCCCACCACTGGATGTGGGTTTACGCGACAAAAAAGTGTCGTTGTCGCTTGACCGAGCGGTCAAACACATGCAGCGACCGCCAGCGACTGTCGCGTTGCATAACACCGCCCTTAAAGAGTTTTCATAAAATACGTTTAGTAAGAACAATAATTGTACAAACCACTACAATCTTAACCTCTAGCAATATGTAAAGAATTTAACTAAGTTAGTTTTGAACAATGTGTTTAAGTATTGTGTTTAAAATTGTCATTGTCATGAATAAGGTGAATGAGGGGTTTTCTCATTCCCGTTTCTCCCTGCATGTTGCCAAACTGACCTCCCCTAGGAGGTCTCCGGAATTCTACCCCCGGAAATTTACCATCACATGTCTGGGGGTAGGTTTCCGGCCGCGAACTTTAGAACGGATAAATTATTATTTATTTTAATCGACATTTCATGGTTTGACAGTTGTAATTAATCAAAATTCCAATGAACCTGACACCGGATATTTAACCTGGAAATCTACATCCAGTAGTAAAATCAGAAATTTCCAACCCCGGATATCCACCCCAAGGTCAGCTATGCTAATTGGTAACCTAACCTTACCCAATGGGAGACGCAACGGCCGACCACAGGGGGTAGATTTCCGGGGGTTAAAAATTCCGTGGTATGGCAAATCACTTTATAAGCAAACAATTACATGTACATTATTTAATAATATATTGGGGGTAAATTTACAGTCGCGGGCTGTTTCTCGACCGTGTATAGACGGGGATAGCCCAACTCCGCGCGGTGGTCAAATTTAAAGGCGGTGACACACTATCGATCTTTTCCCCGATCAAGACCCCGAACCGAGCAGGGAGAAGGGAGAAGGGAGATAAATATCAGCAAAATTTTACTCCGAACATTTCCCCGAACATGACCAAGACCAGACGAATTCTACCGAGCGCGGCAAAAGGAAGTTTGGAGAGAGATAGATTCGCAAAAATAAAATATTCTAGAAAGGATGCTTAGTTATATCTATTGATTTCTATTGGTTTTATTCATTGAAATAACGTTACAGAATGATCATTTTAATTGCCTTTAATAATATTAATGTTTATATTATTTTTGAAAGAATTTAAGTCAACATCAATTACTTAATTCGACCTTAATATTATTGATATAATTGATTTAACGGTTTCTACACTTTCAACCTTGACCAAACAAACCAAAAACATTACATCTTAAATGATTATAATATATAACGGCAACATATTACCCAACATTTATGTATTTTACCAATTAAAGAGTTTAATTGCCATATTAAATCAGAACTATCAATGCTAGCGCAGGCGGCCGCTCGGTGCGGCGCTCGCGACGATGTACGGGGCAAAAATGTACCGTGACACACTATCGTACATCGGACCGATCTTTTCTTTGATCTTTCGCCAAAAAACCGCCTCCAGAGCGCTCGTCTCCCTGCTCGGCCTGATGTCTTGTTCGGCGTCTTGATCGGTGTAACGGACCCGTGACACTATCGAACATCCTCCCTTCGACCTCCCTTCTCCCTGCTCGGTTCGGGGTCTTGTTCGGGGAAAAGATCGATAGTGTGTCACCGTCTTAAGCCGAGGAAAAGTTTTATGGCTCCCGAAGGGTCCAGTCCAACTCCGCGCGGTGGTCACTTTTAGTGTACAGTCTAACTCCGTGCTGTGGCCACATCTAATCTCTACGCTACCTTGTTGTGCTTTCGTATGAGATATGATGTGTTTAATATAAAATATTCTATATATGTTACACTTTTATTTGTTCATATAGCTACTTTTTTCATGTGACAGGTTAGGTTAGGTTAGGTTAGGTTAATGATAGGTAAATTCAAATTAAACATAAGTATATAAGTTTTGTACTAATTAATTTTATTTTATTAGTTACTGTGGTTTCGTACAGTTATAAATTATTTACATTTATAACAATTTCAAACTTCAAATACAAACTCACAGCCGTCAGGGCTATGAGAGCCAAAATTGACCACCGTGCGGAGTTGGACATGTGCCGCGAGGGATTCGAAGTGACCACCGCGCGGAGTTGGACAGTCGGTTTTGACATATTTCTGACCACCGCGCGGAGTTAGGATAAGCCCGTATAGACCACATTCATCGTTGCGTCAAAATAAAGTGGCGTTTTCATATGGGTAAATTTCCGGGGTTGAATGGTAAAATTCCGCTATACCAGGAATCCACCGTGACAGTTTCCATCCCACTCGAAAACACCCTTATAATCCTTCCTAATTGATGTGGCAGTTTCAGTATGAATTAATTATGACCATGAAATGTAGCAGTTTCAGTACGCCCGCGAAGTAGTGTTTTCTATAAACAAAAATACTAAATACAATAACTATGGACATAATGGATATTTTTGTGAATAATAAAGTTATTCATTACTTTCAGAAAAATGAGTGACCCAGCTCCTCAACCCGATAATTCCGGCAGATGGGCCGGGTTCTGCCGTCAGTGTTTCAATAATCGGATGAACGGACAGGAAGGCATCTGTTACCTTTTTTATAGACAAAGACAAAATGTGTAAGTATTTGCAAGTGATACAAAACATACCTCATATTTTTAACTAAATAGTTTTACCTTTAATGGTGAGTAGGTGGTTCAGTTGGTAGCGTCACGGACTTTGGGTCCAAGGCAGTGATGTCGTGGGTTCGGATCCTGGTCACTGCCGCAAACATTTTATCAGTACAGTCACAAAAATCATACTACCAAATATTAGTAATAACAGTATATTTTCTGTGGTACAGTTCACCTTTGTACTGTACCGGTTCACCCCTTGCTTTGCTGTATATGTTCCACTTCACGCACAGATATGTAGTCTATGTGGAAGGACAAATGCAAGGTTAAAAGAGGCCACCAACCTCTCAAAAAACCTACAATTATAATAGGCCATTTGAGGTAAGGGGGGAGGGACTCAGCCACTGGGCGGCGCTGATCCTGATGTGGCTTTTTTGTTATCATAATTTTGAAATATATGGTAATTATGTAGCAAACCTATCATACTGAAATGAGTGTTTACAAAATACCAATATGACACGATATTCTGGTTAGCACTAATCTGATCTCCCCAAGAATCATCTGCTGCAGCGATGGTTAAATCGGTTCATCGTTAATGACTCATTTCAAAACGAAGGGCTTGTAAGAAGTAGTTAACTTATATATTGATAGTAGGGAACCATCTCACATGGACAGAAAATGCATTAAATATGCCACGGTCTCTTTATATTTAGTTTCCAACGGATTTACACAAATTTTACAGTTTAATTGATGTAAAATGCTCAATATGACTAAATAGCCTATGGTAATAATCGATAGTAATACTGTGGAATATCTAAATTAACAGTACAATAACATTTGTTTATATAATCATTTGTTTATTTCTTGTAAATATGAAATAAACAATATTACGTTTGATTTTCAGGATTAGGCGAAGGATTGCGCAAGTGGTCCTACAACGGGTCGCCGTTGCCGTTGTTATGGATGGTGAGCGTGCCCAGCAGGACGAAGCTGCAGCTCCTGTCGAGGCAGAGGGGGACATAGCACCCAGGGACCCCAACATCAGAGACCCTGCCGCTGCCGCCCCAAGGGAACAACAACAAGTACCACGGGAACCATCGCCGGAACGCATTTTAGAAGACCCCGGCCATCCTAGACATCCTTTGCCGGACAGTCCGGATACCCCAGGGAGGGGAAGGGACTACTACTTCGTATACCCAGACTCACCTGACCCCCTTAATTTTGACTGGCAAGTTTTTCCAGATTCGCCAGAGAGCCCCGACCCCCTTCGTCCTGACTGGGAGCAAGACAACTGGCCTTAATTTTTTTTTTATTCACAGTAAAAAAAAGTTGTATACTTATACTTTTATAAAATATACCTTATTCCGTCCATATAACCAAAAGTACTAATAATTCATACCTTGAAACTCATGTGTAAAGTTACCCTTCTTCTGTAATTAAGGTAAAGCAACACTTCTCAAAGGTCCGACATACAACAGATGATTATACATTTAGTTAAAAGAAGGTACCGGTACACAGATTTTTCATGATCAAATATTAGGGGTATTGGCGATTTATTCTTAACTTCGTTAGGGATTAGGCTACCTCTTTTTGTTAGTGACATATTTATTTCTAACAAGCAATTTAAAATGCAAATGTATTTTTAATTTACCGAGAACCATGTCTATGACCAAGTTCCTGAGATCGTTTAAGTAAAGTTATAGAATACTTTCCAATAACCTGTGTAAATTTCGGTTTAACGATACATGGCGATGTAATATCCATTGAAGAGGTAAATCATTTTCCATGTATTAAGTAGTTTTTGACGAAAATCTAAACTGGGATAAACGCACCCACAAAAATTAAACAATCTATAAGAATGTTGTATTGAAAAAAAAAACATTTGTAATACATTTACTTTGTACTTTTGATTTTTCACTTATCGATTCAAGGCCCAGTATCTAATGTGATGATGTGGTGGCACTTTTAAAGTTATATTGAAAATTCAGGTTTACTCAACATTTCGTTTCAAGGACGGTAACCAAAAGTAATAAACGTGATAGATAGCCCTTCCCCGTTATTTTCTGAGTTCAAAATACTTCCAGCTTAGCATTTATCTATTTTCAATGGACTTAAACTCTTCTATATACGCAGTGGAAATTCTGGGACCATCTACCTTTTGAACTATACTAAATAACACAATCAAGGTAGTTCCGTAACCTAGAGTTAAGAAGTCGTTGTTCAAAGGTTAGTATCAGAATAATGGTCCCTAATACTTCCTTTACATCGTTGTAATTCAATCGACTACCGGAAGATAAATGTTTTTATTTGACCTTAGTTTTCTCAAACATTAAAACATTGGTTATTTAGTAATCCGGAAGTACGTATTTTCAAAAACATTCCAAGCAAACTCAATAATATTTACACAAGCAGATCAAAGAATAATTTGTTATCGAACAATGTTTTTATTATAACTTAAAAATCTATATTTAGAACGCCACAGAGAGCGACAGTATTTTCCAATTTAAGAGACTGGACTTGCTAAGTTGTAAATATAATTGTTTTTATTTTTAGTTTGCGTTTGCCACAAGTAATGTGGCAATGTAGTCCCAAGAAAATGGCTATAAAATGTGAACTCTGGAGAATTTAAACAAATACAGACTCTCCTCTGAGACATATCACCCAACAAAATATAGTCCGAAATTACACAAATCTACCTCGATTCATTATAGATAGAAAAATGCCCGTGTGAAACCACAAACCTCAATATTGTAAATGTAACAATTGATTTTCACCATAAAGGCATTCGATGTTTTTCTCATGGATGAACCTACTTTATTATTGTCTAAATATTTTAGGCCAAATACCGTTCTTTGTAGATGATAAGATGAAACCTTGCCACCCTATGGATCTATTAGGCCTATTGCTCAGCTATAGAAAGAGAATCATTTTTCCTCCTTAGCGAATCTCCCTATAGGGGAGTAGCTATCACCACACGTTGCAGGGCAAGGCCTAGACCTTTTTACTAATGGCTATAATGGCAACAGTTTATTGAAAATCGACTCAGACAAAACACAGCTCATTAACTTCCGTTTATCAAATCATTCAAATCGATCAAACAGTGGGTTTAGTCTCCTTCTGGACGAAACTGATGTCCATTCCACATCAAATGTCAAGTTCCTTGGATTGATCTTAGACGAGAAACTGAGTTTTCATGGCCATATCAAACACATAAAAAACAGGTCTGGTATATCGTTCTACGTAACATCAGGAACAATGACAATCTGGAGATCCTGTTGACGGCATACTATGGGCTCATTTATCCTCACATAGCATACGCCGTTCCTAATAATTGGGGATGTGAGTGCCAGCAGACTAAAATGTAGTTTAATTTTAAAAAAAAATGGCAGTGAGAACTATTTTCACTCTAAAAAAAAACATCCAGTAAATATTTGTTCCAATTAAAAAATTTTGACGTTTCCATTTATTTACATTCTCGAATCTTTAACATTTGTGTAACAGGGATTTTCTAAATTTGACTTTTCTGTAAAACACCAATACACATTGCGCAATTTACATAGGCCTATATTACCAATTCCTAAGCATTCAACAACTCGTCAAGTAATCCAATGTTGTTGATGTGAGGTTAAAAACCTACATGTACTTACTTAACGAGGTAATTATACCACAATATTATAGTCGTTTATAGTAATCCAGGGACCATCAACATGGAATTCAATCAGCTGTGCTACAGTACTTCATCACTGTGAATCAATCAGCTGTGCAACGTCATCTTGGGGAATCAGCTGTTCTACGTCAAGTTATATAAACAAAATTACGGAAATAAAAGTAATGAGAAATGTGTAAATTACTGTTCATCATATTAATCAAAAACATAATTTGTGTACGAACTAGACCGAGGGGGCCACCTCCAGGGCAAAATCTTTTTTAGATAGTCTGCTATTTTTGAGGATATCTACTCATTATAGGAGAGAAATAGAAGAGAGTTGAGAGTGAATGAAAATAAACTCAGCAAAGATACTTCGTTTGCCAGAGGAACTGTCCAAATGACAATAAAGGTCTGTTAGACCCTCTAATCATTGTAAATTGAAGATGAATGCAAAAGGTTGGATTGAAGAGGTCAGACGGTTGTTAATTGTCATCGGCATGAGATCTGACTGAAAGGTTAAACGACAAATGCCCCTACCCGTGGAAGAGTTGGTTCTCGCTAGAAAGTAAGCGCGGTTTCGCGGGATATATACACCCGGAGCTCTCGCTCATCTTGGGGGTGAACCGATGCTACTAGGTGTCGAAAGGGGTCTAACTCCTACCTTTACACCAACCAATGCAAGCTCAAGATCTCTCTGTACTATTACAGAAGACCTTAGCTATACCTACACCTCAGTAGCGGTCTTTGTTCACCTTTTGCCAATTTAAATTAACAAAACTCTTGCGTTCGTTTTATATTAAAGATTACCTCTACGCCTGTAATAGATAGGGCTTTTTAAAACAAACACGCCTTATGATTTTATTTTATTTGCACATTATTCAGACTAAACGTGGAATTTATTTTAAATAGTCTAAAGGGTAATTTTATAATTTTTGTTTTGG